GTTGCGCCTGAGGTAGGCTTTAGTATTCGAAATTGATTTCCAACACCATGTGCATTGCATTATTCTGTCTTTTATTACCCGCGTATGTCTTAATTTCGTAGGAAATGCATGCTCGTTTATTTATATTTTTTCAGGGGTATGGATGCATGGTTTCTTCGGAAACATTTTTGTTTTACGGAGTACTTTGTGTAATTATTTTTTAAAGATATTTTGCTTTAGGGACTTTTGTGTAAATATTATTTTGGATATTTTGTGGAGGGAATAACTTGCAAATAAGGGAAAAAAGAGACGAGTGGCACTCTCCCATTGGACCATTTGTTAACTTACCATTAAATACACTTAGAAGCCTACGATGGTGACAAGTGTAAAGCTAGAATCAAACCTTGTGAGGAGGCCTAGATTAGTGACAAGTGGAGGGTTGTTGTGTGTGTGTGTGTGTGTATGTGAGGTAGTATTGGTGTATGTGTGTTTGGCTAACAAAGCCTTTAGTTAGTGAAGAAAGATGTGAAACTTCATCTTCCTCACTTAACCACCATTGAAGGACTTAGAAACCCTACCCACCATTTATCAATTTTGAACCTCTTCCCTTGAGCTTTAAGTCTTCCACTTTGAAGACAAAAGCTCCCTCTTTTCCTCCTCCACAACACCTTTTCTTGTTTTCACCATTTGCCCTTGTTTGCTTTTGATTCTAGAGAGACAATCCTCTAGTGAGGTAGAGAATGTCATATGTTTATACTCTTAGTGTTTTATGTGTTTTTGGAGTTGATATATATTGCTTACAAGTTAAATTTCAAATGTTAGGGTTGTATATAGATGTGTATAATATGAAATTAACTTAGGGTTGTGTTTTATATAAGGCTTGTACTTGATCTTTAACTTGTGTTAAGCTTACTCCATTTAGTGATGTTTTGAAATCTTGTGATTTTAATTGTGTAATTATTAAGTTCCTATATTGTTGTGGTTAATGATTTCATTATGTAATTGATATTATGTTGATGTTTAAATCATGGATTTGAAACTCATTTTGTAATTGCATGAATAAACTTCTTGTGTTGACAACATTATTATAGCTTAGTGGATTTCACATCGTAATCTTGTTATATAAATTGCCATTGTAGATTGAGGACTTAGGGCATGATTTATGTGAATCCCTATTTGGTTGTGCATGGAAGGTGGAAAAGTACATTGTATACTTAGTATATTTGTGGTATATGTTGTTAATTTTGGAAAATTGGGACGTCATTGTCTTGACTATGGTTAGAGTATGACTCTAATATGGGAGATACAAGTTATCCCCACATGTGCGCATTAGGGTAGTTCCTGGAAGGCTAGTAACCCAAAATAGCTATTATGCATTTGATTTTATCCGGCGTGATGTCCAAGTATATCCATATTGTTGATTTCGCATTTCGTTTCAAGTTGATAATACTAAATTGTTGTAACTTGTTGTTGGCTTTGTCGATTCTGATTTTGTTTGATTGTGATACCTATTGTGGATTATGTTTAAAAGGTTTCAAAGGTAGCTTTAGGATGTTTCCTTAGCTTCACATTGAATTTAGACGCTAGGTGGCATGATCCACGTGTATACGTTTATATTAACTTGCAAAACTGTTAAAACTTTAGCTTATACGGATGTGCATTATCCTATGTAGTAACTTGTTTAATCACCCTAGTTGATATGTGGTTTTTCAGGTAAAGAAGTGCTATTTTTAGATGCACATCATCCCTAGTATGTTGTGGACTTGTGTCATGGACACACATACCTTTTGAATGCATGCAAAATGTTTAGCATGCTTATTTTGATGTAGCTTTGTAAATTATGGACCTTTGGAACATGATTTTTGGTATTTGACATGTAATGAGGTTATAAGCCATTGTAGCACATTTCAATATGTATATTACGTTTGTTGGCATGGTCGTAAAGTCACACAACTCTAAATTTAGGTCTTGGAGCTATCTCTTGGAAATTTACGCGTTTTTGTGCCAAATTGTGTAGTCAATTATGCTTCACACATTTCTATTGAATTTCCATATTGTGGATGCTTGTATGAGCCTTTGGGATGTTTTAAATTATGTTTTGGGATTCTCGGGATGCATGTGTAGGTTTTGATTTGGACCGAGCCATTTTTGTATACTCTGCAACAACAAATTTTTGCTGTTATTTGGTGCATCGGTCGGCTGATGAAGGTTGTTAACTGGCTGATAACCCATTTTTGGCATTCCAGTGAGTATGCAATTCTCGTAGGCCGTTTCGACTGGCTGAATATGGGGGTTCGACCGGTTGAACATCCAATTTCGGTCGGCTGATGATGTAAGTTCGACCGACTGACCCTCCTTGAGACTTAGCTTCATTTCAGTTTCTAGGATAGCTTTGTTGTGCAGACTTTGAACAGCCATATCTCACTTATTTCTTATCCAAATTAGGTCATTCTTGAGTCCATTTTCAAGAGATTTGAGTCAGCTTTCCAATTGTACCAACAATATACATAAACTCTAACCGTAGTTAGAGTTATGATTGTTCTAGTGAAATAGGGTCACGATATCTCTTAACCAGAGAATGCTGTTTTGTGCCATCTATTCCGTTAGGGTCTAGAACTTTGTCAAATGTTCATATATGATTAGTATATTATATATTATCCTTGTTTACTCTCTTTTTGATCACCTTAACCACATAGGTCGATGTGATCTCTTGCTTCCGTTTTTGTTCCCTTTTCGAGTCTCGTTACTTCTAGGAAGTCTCTTTGTCGTCTTAGGGATGGTATTCATCTCTAGAGACCTCCTCTCTTTCTTACTTTCGCGTTTAAGACTCGTTATCGGGTTACTCGCTGACGCACTGGGTTCTTCGAAATTCGGATCGTCACATTTTATTTTATTTTATTTTCATCAGAGTATAGATTATTTTCATCAGAGTATAGAGGATTTGATGTATTTATTTTGAGATAAATATTGTATTATATATATTTATACTTATAGAAAGAAAGACGATTTGTTGGATCACACCGATGTTTGAGTTTTAATATGAGATGTATATGTATTCGAGTTTTTGGGGTGTGACAGAATGGTATAAGAGCTTGACCTAGCCATGACCATTGGGCTAAAGGTGCCTTTAGTATGTGGGCGAGTAGACGTACAACCCAGCCACATGTATGTAGATATAAGCACTTTACCTTTCCCTTACCTAGGCGATGTGGGATTATGCACCCGTAGCTCACCCAGTGTAGTAACGTGTTAGTGTCTTGCACTCGCCCATTTCACACCTTGAGGTAAAGCTCAAGAGTAAAATCATGCGGGCTTAGGTCTAAAGAAGACAATATCATACCATGTGGTGGAGTGGGTCACTACAAATAGTATCAAAGCCTGACCCAGCCGGAAGTGTGTTGACGGGGACGTCGAGCTTCCAAGGGGGGTGGATTGTAATGACCCTATAGACGGGTGTGTCATGGGCGGGTGCGAGACATTGGCAGGCTATCACACTAGGCGAGTTACGGGTGCACAATCCCACATCGCCTAGGTAAAGGAAAGGTGAAGTGTTTATATGTGGTGGTATTATTTCCAAATGGTATGAAACCTTTTGGAGTAAAGCTTAAGAGTAAAACTGCGTAAGCTCAGGTTCAAAACGGACAATATCATGTGATGGAGTGAGTCGTTATAGAGTATTTAACTTAATATTTACATTAAGAGTTTATATGCGCACTAATTGTTTGATACATGTCTTTAAACTCAATAATGACGTTTTCTGTGACATTTGCACCACGAATATGTTACACATCAATAATGTGCAAATGATTATTTTAATGGGTAGTTGAAATGCATACATGGTTGCTTGAAGCAATTTCATAGTCTACTAGCTTGATTATGCATATAATTGACTATTTTATTTAGTAGAGCGCATGATTATGAAATGAAATGGCATTTGCTAAATCAACCTACCCATCAAGTTAATTAAGCTCACTATTATACATTCCTCATTACGAGAGAGTTTTACACTTAACCCACTTAAGAAGAGCATTTATCATTAATACATATTTTTCTCTAAAGGAAAGAAAGTTTTAATTTCTATTCATTGTCCATGTAGAGATATAGTTTGTACTCTCTATATTGTGCTCATTGCAAAAGTGTTTTTATTTAACTCTTGAAAGTCTAAAATAAATTTCTGTTTAGAAGGGAGAGACAAGTATTAGAAGCTTATAGAAGTTAAACTGAGAAAGTTCCATAGTTTCCCAATTATCATATTCACCACCCTTATAGGGTCAATCCTTGAGCAGCAGGTTTGTTTTGTATTTTTTAAATATACAATAAAATCCAGTTAGTGTTGTGGTTGAATCCTACTTTTAGGAGTTGCCCACTTTAATGTAACTCTTTTGATTAAAAGGTTTGTTTTGTATTATTTAAATATACAAAAATAAAATATGTTTATAAATAAATAAAAAAAAAATCTTATACTTTTATACTAGTAAAGATTCAGGCCTATTTGGTTTGTTATTTTTAAAATTGTTGTTAAGAACTCAAAAAATGCAAAACTATTTCGAGAGAATTATAAAAGTTAATCATCTGAATATATATTTTTTATAACTGAATTTTATTTTATGAAAACTGAATCAAACGGAATTTTTGTATAATTTTTTAATTTTTAATTATCTAAATTAAAAAACAGTTTTTAAAGGTATAAACCAACAATACAGAATTGTTGGTGTGTGAAATACTAATATTAATAGCTTTCATAAGTGGTTAATTAGTGCTCTAATTATCTTGATTTGACCTCACTTCGATTTAACAAATACAAAAAGGAAAATGCAAAGCCATGACATCGATTACCACCTATGAAAAGTAATTTAACTTTAAAAACAAATAATTATAGGGGACAAATGAAACAGATAATCCACTCACTGACTGCAATACAAAACCACACAATACTTCAATGGATATGTTTAATTGCGAACTACTTTTTCTAACAATATTAATAAATTTAAATAGAATGTCATAAGGCAAGTCACTCAACAAGTCACAACGCTATCAGATTTTTATTTTTTTAAAAAAAGTTAGGAGTTCAGCCTCGATGAAGAAGGCTACTAATACCAACTAAAAAACAAACTATAACAACTCACCAGACAAATCAACCAAATTACTAAAACACAAAACATCATAAAACACTCCACCATTACAACTTCTTACTAAAACCATAGCATAGAACTCATGGAAGTTAAGGACAAATCAAAAGAAATTAGGAGCATCGTTCGCGGGCCACGCCAAGCCTCGAATTGGGCACGTCGTAGAGCACCCTGTGGTTCTGTTGTTGCCAATTTGCTATAACATTCAGCACCGAGTTAACGTTGTCCGGGGCTGCTGCCATGGCCAGGCAGGTGGTGCTGCCAGAACTGCTGTGGATCAAGAAGTTGTCCAATGGCAGCGTCACATTCATGCCGGTGAACATGAACGTTATCGTTGGCACTTTGACCGAGACTGTGTAACAAGTGTCGAAGCCGCCTAGAGATGTGATTGTTGCATTGCCAAGCCTTGCTCGGAATGCATCTCTTAGTGCAATGTAGGCTGGTTGGACTAGTCTGGTGTAAACAGTGCCTAATTCCCAAAAGAAAAACAAAAAACAAAAATAATAAATAAATAAACATAATAAAGGATGATAATTTGATCTATGGTTGATATTTTCAAAAAATAAAACATCGTAATCTAAATTTTCATATTCTCTATGTATTTGAGGCGTTAGTTCATGACTGATGTCAAAAAGCCTTCTTTAAGGTTAGTTAGATCCTATTTGATTATTCAATTCTTTCTGCGCCTAATCTTAAATACATTAAACATTTATTTAATTAAATTTGACAACTCAATTTGAATATCACAAGAAAATAAAAACTACTACTTAAAATGAGATAAAATTTTAAATGAAATGGATACTGAAAATTTTCAGGAATATTAAAAGAAAAAATTTAATTTTCAATTATCATTTAAAAACTTTAGCCTTAAAATTTTACTCTTAAAAGATTCAGTACTTAATTTTCAGTTTTATCAAATAACAGCTTTATTTTTTTCAAAACTATATACCATTTATTTTTCTTGTTTGAAAAAAATGTACCAGAATCAAATATGGTGCCGGCACCGGTGGCTGAATTGAAGGCCAAGGCGCTGGGCGGGATGTTGACGACTCGACTGCCAACCATTATTCCGATCATGTTGACATAGTAAAGGGATGGTCTTCTAGGGCTACTCAACAACTGGGTATACTTGATCGTCTTGGGCTGCCCAACGGGCCCTAGCCGAAGGGACCCAGAAAAGTTTAGGGCCTTGTAACTGGGCAAACAGTAGGAGAATGTGGACATATAGAGACTTTGGGTCTGGGATAATAGTGACATTGGGCCCCTACCCAGGCCCAAAAGTCCCTGCGGCGGCACGGAACTGCCGGTGGCTGTTTGGATGCAACCAAAGGCATATCCAGGGATGGCGTCCGTGGCAAGGGTCATGGTGTCCTGAGACAGTTTTGCTGCTATGGTTGAGCCACCATATGTCATGTTGAAGTTGCATACACTGCCTCCACATGTGGGGTTGGGTACCTAAAAATTTCACCAAAGGCGCATGTTAGTAAAATCCCTTGATAATATATAAAATTTTAACTTGCTCTCCATGCATGATTATGTAAAAATTGGCTAAAATTGTTGACCATTTTAGGTGTTAGTGAACGAAAATATGATAAATTTAGAATTAATTTCATTTACCTTTCTTGAGGTTTGTCTATATTTCATATAGATCTACTATGTGTTTCATAATTCCACTTATCTCATCTGTTAGTGATTTTTTTCTCGTTCTGCCCATAGTATGTTGTTATTTCGAATAAGAATGGCGAAAATGTTTAGACTAGAAAACATTTGTTATATAAACCACAATCTTAGGGAGGTAAATGGAATTATGAAATATAGAGGGGTCTATATGAGATATTGACAAATTCCAAAAAAGATAAGTAGAATTAACTCATAAATTTATTAGATAATTCTCCATGTGGTACAATCCACCCTCCTATATATTAAGAAAAATGAACTCATCAAGGTTCAATAAAAATTACTCCGTACAAAATATCTCGAATGATTTTGATTAAACTAAATCACCAAGTGAAATATTGTTTTAGAATTATCTAACAATTTTTTATTTTTATTTTTATTTTTTATTTTTATTTTAAATCTCACTCCTAAAAGAACAAAATAAATAAATTAAAAATAATTAAGTATGACAAGAGCCTTCTTTAATGTGAAATTGTTTCAAGTTTCAAAATAGAAGTAAAATGAGCATGCGAAGGTGGAGGGAGCTTCCAAATCTTCGTCTGGTAAAAACAGTGGGTGTGTGTTTTTTTTGTGCCTAAGGTGAATAAAAACAAAAAAATATTGTCTCCATCCAATTATTGAGGATTTAGAAGTCTAATGTGCCCGTGACCCCTGTCTCATTCTTTGGAAAATGACTGGCACAGATTGCATATACACACATATATTTATATACATAAATTTCACCAAGCGCATGTTAGTAAAATCCCTTAATAATATATAAAATTTTAACTTGCTCTCCCTCCGTACATGATTATGTAAAAATTGGCTAAAATTGTTGACCATTTTAAGTGTTACTGAACTAAAATATGATATATTTAGAATTAATTTCACTTACCCTTGAAGTTTGTCTATTTCTCACATAGATTTACTATGTGTTTCAAAATCTCACTTACCCTTCTTTTAGTAACTTTTTTATTATTCTTTTGGGCATTAAAATGGCAAAAATGTTCACAAGGAGAAATCTATTATATAAACCAAAACCTTAAGGGGTAAGTGAAATTATGAAATATGGAGCGGTCTATATAGAATATTGACAAATCTCAAAAATGATAAGTAGAATTAACCTATAAACTTATTAAATAGTTCTCCATGTGGTATAATCCACCAATAGTACTCCTATTAAGAAAAATGAACTCATCAAGGTTCAATAAAATTACAAAACAACTCCAATGATTTTGATTAAACTAAATCACCAAGTGAAATATTGTTTTAGAATTATCTAATAATTTATTTATTTATTTATTTTTTTCAAATCTCACGCCTAAAGAACAAAATAAATAAATTAAAAATAAATAAGTTTCAAAATATGCGAAGGTGGAGGGAGCTTCCAAATCTTCGTCTAATAAAAAAATGGGTGTGTGTGTGTTTTTTTTTTAAAAGGTTAATAAAAACAAAATTTTTTTGTCTCCATCAAATTATTGAGGATTGAGAAGTCTAATGTGCCCGTGACCCATGTCTCATTCTTGGGAAAATGACTGGCACAGATTGCATATACATATACATATATTTATATACATATATATATTCAAGTAGTGTTCACACCTGTTTGCACTGAGCAGCATCACAACCAAGGGTAATGAAAGTGGTAGAACTAGTCGAATCAAACACGGTAGAGGAGCACCCTACGCACCCGGTGCAAGGTATCCAAGCGGCATCATTGCTAGTATCCACAGCCATGAGCATGGTTTGAGCTGGTGTCCCAATCTTAGCCCTCACAATGTACGTCGGGCTCTGCAGAATCGACCGGCCTGAAGCTATCGGCACCACCGACTTCTTGGCCACGAGGCTCGACAAGTATTGCAGCCTCCATTGGTCCTTTGACTCCATTTGAAGCACACTCTCTTCCCATGAGAGCGGCGTTGACGGCCGGAATGGGGAGCAAGGGCTGTGGACATGGAGCACTTGGAGGGTTGAGCCACGGTCTGGTTTGTCACACTTGGGGTTGAGCCCTTGGGCTAGCGAGAAGAAGAGTAGGGTTAACAGAGGAGAGAGTGAGGTGGTCATGGTAATGGATGCTTGGTGAAACAAGTTAGGGTTTTGGATGGTTTAGTGGAAGAGTGTGTGTATATATGTGTATATATATAGTAGTGTGCACTTGTATAGTGGGGACTGGGGAATGTAGAGTATTGTAGTGAGTGGGTAGTCTGTTAACAGACTGTATTCCATTTGCTTTTGTATGTATGATAGCCTCTCACGTGTCCCCCTATCCATTCATGATATGGATGGTATTGCTTGCACTTCTTAGTTCCATGTGTGTGCACTAATCAAAACCCTTCTGAGTACCGTGTACTCTGCGGTATTTCACAACAAAGAACAAAATGTCACATCATTTATTTATCAAAATAATGCAATTTTGGTGAACAAATTGTAGAATAAATGACGAACAAAATATATTGGAGATAATTTTGATCCTTAATGTTGCGTTCCGTAAGAAAGAAGTATAAAGAGAAAATAAGGAAGAAGAAACGAATTCTTTTATTCGGTAGATATGATACAAGAAAAGAAAAAAAAAATAGGAAGAATGATCCATCCTCTTTCTTTTACAAATTTTTATTCGCCCATCTCATCCATCTCCTCGTCTCTACCTTCCATCTTACCCAACATACCATAAATAAAAGTGGAGAGAGATGGTCCATTTCCAAGAAGAGAAATGATTTATTTTTGGAATGATGGATGTGACTTTGCAAATTTACCTTTGGTCCCGGCCACAAATAAAAACCAAACCTTACTTCTACGTAAAGTAAAAAGACAGCTAGCGTTCAAATAACATTGGTCAAACGACAGTTTTGCAAATAACATTATTGGCTCTGGCTATTGAATCATTGCGGAACTGAACTTGTTGGGAAATCATTATGCGTGACAGAGAGAATGCCCGTGTTCACTCCTCTAATGCGGTGCGTGCGTGTACTTGTTACTTGCATTCTTTCTCACCCCACTTCTAACAGTGCAACTAAAACAACATACAAGCAATTCAATCGAACAGAGTAAAAAAACAAACAAATTGTCGAAAGAGAAAAAAACCCCAAAGGTTGGGTTGTGAGAAAAATGAAAAAGAAAAAAAATCAAGCGCCTTTAAATTTTAGGAGTCAAGACTTAGAAATGTCAAGAGGTGTGAAGTCCTAAAAGAGTCCATTTCTGAATGTAACCCAACCTTTATGATTGAAAATAGCACTAATCATCAACTATTCCAAAACATAGTTAGAAACTGCGGCTAAACTCAATCTCAGAGCCGGTTTGAGATTTCAACTCAACTTTCATTATCCATATTCCCTACTAGCGAGAAACAATAATTATAGCTTATTTTCTGAGTGTGCACATTTTTTAAAATTTAAATCCTCTCAAAATCCAGTCGTATTTGAAGTAGTTTTCCATCCAAACGATTGGAACTCTATATTTAAATAAGAACAACTATTTTCAATTCCGAATCTAACCAGACATTTCAAAGGAATTCGTATCTACAAATAAGGGTTGAGAGAATTTCAACGCCAAACCCACTAGACCATATATGTAACATCTCAACTTGTCAATTCACGAGTGCTGTCGGCCAATGTGAAGAGGTTCATACATGAAGCTCTCGTGACTATATATATATATATATTACTTATCTTAGTGGGCATTAAAGAAACGAAATAAAACATAAGTAACGAAGGAATGAGAGGACAAAGAACAATGAGACGAAATATATATGATAACCCTGCAACTATATATGGAGAATTCTAAGTCAAGTGGCATACCCTTTACTTTATGTTTATGTTGTTTTTATTTGTTTTTATTTGAGTCCAGTTAGATTATACTTGCTTACTTAAAGATGGAGAAATTATTAAGTGGTCGGCAAATTTATAGTCCCGGCCACAAACCGATCCAGAGATTTGTATGAAATGGAACAGTTTTGAACAATAATAATGTATGGTGGATATCATTAGAAATTGAATAGGGGTATATTTAAAATTTTCACAAAAAAGTAGGGATATGTTAAGATTTTCATAAAATTTATAAGCAATTGTGTAAATAAAAAAATTTCAGTGCGAACGGCTACCCCCACTGGGCCCTTCATGGGTCCGTGCCTGGCCACAAATTGTTGGCGTGAGCTGTCCTTTAGAACCCTTTGGAGTAATTGTAGGAACTTTTTATTACCATTTATTTATTTATTTTGCCTTTTATTAGATATCCCCTATTTTACTGGGTCAACCTTAATTCTAGTCTTCGACATAATGTAGTAGGTTTCTTGAAACCACCTATATATATTGCGATATATACTTGTATTCTCAGTGTATTCAATATAATGAAAAATATTCCCAAAATTTCCTCTGGTGTATGGTGGTATCAGAGCTAAGATCCTAGGAACAGATTGGAAACCATAGTGGAACCAACTGAGTTGGTGGAGCATAGGAATAAAGGCAAAAACTCCACTGTTGCAATCCTAGAGGACTTGACGACCAGGATGACGCAAGTTTTGACCCAGAATCAGACCCAGACTCAAGCGACCACATATGATACTTCTATTGCACATATCAGTATTAAGCTAGATGGCACTAACTATGCTTTATGGTCCAAAGTGGTTGAGATGTATATCTTAGGTAAAGACAAATTGGGATATATTAATGGAGATCTTCAGCAACTTGAACCGATAGACCCAAATTTCAGGAGATGGAGAACTAAGAATGCTATTATAAAAGAATGGTTGATAAATTCCGTGGATCCATCGTTAATCAACAGTTTCATTCACTCTCCAATTGCAAAATTGGTATGGGATTCAATTGCTACCACTTATTTCGATGGGTCAGACACATCTCAAGTGTATGATTTGAAGAAGCGTGTGACAAAGACAAGACAAGTAGGGGGTCCATTGAATCTTATTACACTAGTCTTCAAGGCTTGTCGAGAGAAATTGATTTTCGACGTCTGAATCCAATGATATGTGCTAGAGATATACAGAAATACAATGCAATCCTACAAAAAGATAGAGTCTATACGTTGATGGATTGGATGGTCGACTGGACAAGATTCGGAATGATGTACTTCAGATAAAACCATTCCCTATGATTGAACAAGCCTATGCTCATGTTTGAAGGGAATATATCAGGCAGGTAGTAATGCTAACATGCACAGATCAACGACAGTAGGTGTTGCCATGGCCTCTAGAGGAATCAAGACGGGACATCCACAACTACCTACTTTCCGGATGTCAAATGAACCTTCATCTAGGGGTGGTGGAAAGACAATGCACCCACAAAAACAAAGGGACAAACAGAAGGAGGAGGCTGTACTTATTGTGGGAACATGAAACACACTCGTGAAACATGCTTTAAGTTAAATAGGTATCCAGAATGGTGGAAAGAACGCAAAGTAAAAAAACATCTGATGGCTCGGGATGGGCAACTTTGGTAAATGCAGAACCCAGTTATCTCTTGTCTCACAGGTCGAACCTAAACATGAGTCAACCACCTTCAGTGATCAAGGTAACAATATCTATGCCTTACTTAGTTCTAACCAAGATGATTATAGTGGTTGGATAGTTAACTCAGGCGCAACTGACCACATGACCCTCTATTCCAATGACTTTGCCAAGATTACGCAGCCTAGACGGACTAGTATTGCTAATGCCAACGGGGTCACATATCCAGTTACAAGGGCTCGAACAGTGAACTTATCATTCCCTCTCTCTTTGTCCAATACTTTACTAGTTCCATTTCTTTTAAATAAATTGATGTTAGTTAGTCAAGCTACTGAAGAACAAAATGTGTTGCTCTAATTTACCCTATTTTTTTCCTTCTTCAGGATATTCTCACCAAGGAGATCATTGGGCATAGTACTAAGAGGGGGGGTTATACTATATGGATGACTTCAGTTCTGGTAGAGGTAATAATGCGCGACATATGACTAGTGCTAAGGAGGAACATATTTGGCTATGGTATCGTTGCTTGGGGCATCCATCATTTAGTTACATGAAACACTTGTTCCTTGATTTGTTTTCCAATTTACATGATTTAGATTGTAAATGTGATACTTGCATTCTAGCTAAAAGTCATCGTGTACATTTTCTAATTAGCTTGAATAAGAGTGACATTTCTTTTGTCTTGATTCATTCCGATGTTTGGGGACCCTCTCTAATTACTACTACTTCTGGCATACGTTGGTTTGTGACTTTTGTAGATGACTGTACTCGAATGACTTGGTTGTACTTGTTGAAACATAAGGACGAGGTGTTTGGTGTGTTTTGGGCTTTTTATGCTATGATTCAGACTCAGTTTTAAGCCGAAACACTGTTGGGAAACGTGCAAGTTTTTAAAACTTTTGAGGGATTTGCAATCACGGATCTTGATTCATCACACAGAGACAAGTTTTATGCAAAGATAAATAAAAGATGATGCATAATTCAATAAACAGATTGAATACTTACATCAAAGGTCTAAGTAAACCTTTTGAACTTTCCTCTAAAGTGAATGTTCTCACTTATTGTAGATCCCTTTAGCAAGATCCTTTCTCCTTCCGTTCGATTATTATCTTCCCTTTAGGAATCACCAATATGCCTTGATGAATGACCTTGGAATCTAGGCTGGTGGTAGCCTTCTTTAGAAGAGAAAACAAAACCCTAAAATTTAGAGAGAGAAAGTGTATTCCTTTTTCTTGTTCTCCAAGTCACCCCTAAAATATACATGAACTCATGTATATATAGGCAAAATAAAAATAAGAATAAGGAAACAATAAATCATTCTCTATCTCTAATTCAACTTTCTCAATCCTAACATGACTCCAATATTAACTTGGGCTATTGGTGAGAATCCTTTTGGGCTTACTATTTTCTTGGCTCCTATAAATTAATAATTGGTCCGGTCCATTAAATCATGGACCCAATTCAATTAATTCATAAATTAATTTCTACTCCACTAAAAGAAATTAATTGCACTCCAATTAAATAGTAAATAACCTCTAAGTCAATGTTGCACTTTGACCCCTCTATGCTTAATTATTTATCGGATAATTAAAGCCATCAATCCGACAACATAATTAATATAATTATTTTGTTATCTTTGATTATTTCCGGCTCGATCACAATAAAATATTTATTTGACAAAAAATAATAATAATTTATTAAATAAATATATATAGAAAACATTTGTCTAAAACATACGAAGGCCTTCGAATTTAATTTGTGATCAACCATAATCAAAACAAAATAAATACAAATAGCACTGATGCAAATATTGAGAATATAGACCTCTAATTATTAATTACATAACTACCTAAAGTGTCGATCTAAGGATCCCGAGGTTTCCGCCGAACAAATCAAAGTAATTATTAATTAATAAAAGAGTCTATACTTCTCTCATACTTGAGAGTCAAAAGCCATGACTGTGATAGGGAGCAATTGCATACGACAGCTTTCGCAATATATCTCAATCTATCGTGGACTCGGTTTAAGTCTTAACTAATTAAATGTCTATCCATAATTACTGACTTTAAACCATTTATGATTACTAATTTATATCATAGTATTAATTGCCATTACATACATATATAAATATATTTTGTAATCAAGCAGACACCATCAATTCCATAAAGAATTGAAAAATAATACATTCCATTCACCAATTGTATAATGCTTTAATAATAATATCCAAATAAGAAACCATGACTTTTACAATCCAAAATTAGAATTTGCTATGCTAGGGCGCACATATCCTAACAGCTCCCACTTGCACTTATAGCCAATTCAAATCACATCTAACTCCCATGTTCTCCATATGACGATCAAACATCTTGATCGGTAAAGCCTTTGTGAATGGATCAGCAAGGTTATGTTCCGATGCAATCTTAGCCACAAGTATATCTCCTCGCTTTACTATATCACGAACCACATGATGTTTCCTCTGAATGTGTCTTGTTCCTGTATGAAATTTTGGGTCCTTGGTTTGGGCTATAGCTGCACTATTGTCGCAATGAAGTGTTATAGGCTGATCTATGTGCTCCACAACCTCCAGTTCAATTAGAAAGTTTCTCAACCAAACAGCTTCTTTTGCTGCCTCAGAGCCTGCAATGTATTCTGCTTCCATGGTTGAGTCAGCAGTACAACCCTGCTTGACACTCTTCCAACTAACTGCCCTTCCATTGAACTTGAACACATATCCAGATGTAGATCTCCTGGCATCAGGATCTGATTGAAAATCAGAATCCGTATATCCGACTGGAACCAGATCATCACCTCCATAAATGAGCATTAGATTCTTAGTTCTTCTAAGGTATTTTAAGATATTCTTCACAGCTGACCAATGATCAAGTCCAGGATTGGACTGATATCTACTGACAATCCCTACAGAGTAGTAGATGTCCGGTCTGGTACAGACCATGGCATACATGAGACTACCAACTGCCGAAGCGTATGGTACCCGCCTCATTTGCTCAATTTCCTTATCAGTCTTGGGAGACTGGTCATTAGAAAGAGCCAACCCATATCTAAATGGCAAAAACCCTTTCTTAGAGTTTTCCATTCCAAACTTGATCAGAACTTTGTCAATGTAAGACTCTTGAGACAAGCCTATTTTCTTTTTAACCCGATCTCGCATAAGCTTGATCCCAAGAATATAGCTTGCTTCTCTAAGATCTTTCATCTCAAATTTATACAACCACCTTTTAACTGATGACAATGCTTCTACATCATTACCAATGAGTAAGATGTCATCAACATATAAAACGAGAATCATGATGACATTACCCTATTTTTTCTTGTAAACGCAAGGTTCAAACACGTTTTGTTCAAAGCCAAATAATTTGACTGCCTGATCAAAACAAATGTTCCATGTGCGTGAAGCTTGCTTAAGTCCATAAATAGACCTATTAAACTTACATACATAGTCCTCACGACCTTTAACTACGAAACCGTCTGGTTGCCTCATGTAGATGTCTTGTTCAAGATGGCCATTTAAAAATGCCGTCTTAACATCCATCTGCCATATCTCATAGTCATAATAAGCACTAATGGCCAAAAGAATGCGAATAGATTTAAGCATTGCAACTGGTGAGAATGTATCCTCATAATCAATACCTTTACGTTGAGTGAAGCCTTTGGCAACCAGTCTAGCTTTGAATGTCTCAACATTCCCATCCATTCCTCTCTTTCATTTGTAGATCCACTTACAATCAATGGGCTGAACCCCACTAGGAAGTTCTATAATATCCCAGACTTTGTTAGTATACATCGATTCCAACTCTGATCTCATGGCATCTTTCCAACGATTCGCATCTATATCGGTCAACGCTTCCGCATAGCTTACTAGGTCCGACTCATGCTTATCGGGGACGGCCTCATAGACCTCACCCAAAAGTGTGAGTTTTTCAGGTTGGATGATAGTCCTCCCACTACGCCGAAGGACCGGTGCAGGAATCGATGTACTAGATGATGGTAATTCAACAGGGATTTCTTGTGTCTCATCATTCTCAGTATTTATATTAGGTGTGTCCACTGGGGGTATATCTGACGTGCCAACCATCTCCTCTAACACTATCTGGCTACTAGGTCTGTAGTTCATAATATAATCCTCCTCCAGGTAAACAGCATGAGTGCTGACAATAACCTTATTGTCCCTGGGATCATAAAATAATCCACCTCTAGTGCTCTTAGGATAGCCAACAAACAAGCATGCATCTGATCTTGCTTCCAACTTGTCTGCCTGTTTCTTTCGTACGTGTGCTGGACACCCCCATATATGCATATGATTTAAACTAGGTTTTTGTCCAAACCACAGCTCATATGGCGTTCCTGAAACAGACTTGGATGGAACACAGTTCAAAATATACATCACTGATTCTAAGGCTAATCCCCAAAATGATAGAGGTAATGTAGCAAAACTCATCATAGATCTAACCATGTTAAGTAAAGTTCTGTTTCTCCTTTCTGCCACTCCATTCTGTTGAGGGCAGTCAGGTGCGGATAACTGGCGCACAATACCCCATTGACCATATGATCCTTGAACTCCCCCAAGAGGTATTCACCTCCTCAATCAGATCGAAGTGTTTGGATAAGTTTACCTAATTTACGCTCCACTTCCGCCTGAAAGTCACGGAATTTTCCATAAGCTTCTGACTTGTGTCGCATTAGGTAAATATATCCAAAACATGAATAATCATCAATGAAAGTGATGAAGTACTCAAACCCTCCTCTCGCTTGGGTGTTCATTGGACCACACACGTCTGTGTGCACCAACTCTAATTGTTCTTTGGCTCTATATCCTTTGGCTGAGTAAGCCCTTCGAGTCATCTTTCCTTCAATATAGGATTCACAAGTTGGCATAGGCTCCTCTGCCTCACAAGGTAATAAACCTTCTTTAACTAACCTTTGAATCCTATTTTGATTGATGTGACCCAATCGTAGATGCCAATGATACAATGAGTTTGGAGAAACTGCTTTTCTTTTAACATTCAATCTAGATAAAGTTGCATTTAATTCATAATTTTGCATTTGATATGAGCTAGGAGTTAAAACATATAGATTATCTTTCAATGCACCAGAAGTTATAACACAACCATTTAATTTAATTAAAACATTTTTTCCAAAAGTAAAAATATAATTTTTGCAAACCAACGAAGAAACTGAAATTAAATTGTGCCTAACATTTGGCGCATAAAGAGAATCTTCTAAAATAAAACTCCTCCCACTATCAAACTGCATATGAATCACTCCCACTGTTTTAGCTTCCACCTTGGCATTAGATCCCATATGCAAGTATATCTCTCCTTCATTGAGGCTTCTGGACTCCTGGAATCCCTGCAATGAATTGCAAACATGATTAGTGGCTCCAGAATCTATGCACCAGGAATCTATAGATTCAACCACATTACATGCCTCAACAATGAATATACCTTTTCCTTTGCCTTGTGTGCGAAGTATTGGGCAGTTAGGTTTCCAGTGACCCGGTTGACCGCAATGGAAGCAGTTTCTTTCGCCTTCAACCCGCACTTTCTTCTTTCCCTTATCCTTTTGGATTACTTTGTTTGGCACAACCACAGTTTTGGTACCATCCTTCTTCTTTTTCTTGCCCCTCCTCTTGGGCATAGAAGTGGATGGTCCAGCAGACTGAGTGTAGTTAATAGATGCACCCTTGCTTTTGTTTATCCCTTCAAAGGTTACCAACTCATTCAATACTTCAGCGAGTGTGTACTCAAGCTTATTCATGTAATAATTAACCCTAAAAGAGTTAAATGAGTCTGGCAATGAAGCGATAACCATGTCAACCTGAAGTTCACCATCCAAGTTGCATCCAAGGATTTCCAGTTCATTTAAAAAACCAATCATTTTTAAAGCATGCTCCCGAACTGAAGTACCTTGGACCATCTTAATGGTCATCAAATTTGTCATAGCATTTTGGCGTGTACTCTTACCAATTTGCCCAAACATTTCCTTAAGGTTAAGCATGATGTCTGCAGAAGTGAGATATTGAAGATGTTGACTTTGGAGTACATTCGAGAGTGAAGCAAGAATGTAGCACCTAGTCATCTCATCTGCTTTATTCCATTTCTTAAAAACTTCATGCTCCTCAGGAGGATCCTCAGGCAAAGGTGGAGAAGGTCTGGGAGTAGTAAGCACATAATTCAACCCCTCATATGTAAGTACAATATCTAGTTGCCTTTTCCAATCGATATAATTAGGTCCAGTTAATCGATTTTCTTTTAGTATGTTTGCAAGTGGACTGAATGGACTAGTCATGATAAATCTGGAAATAAAAACATTCATACAATAAATAAAGTGAATAATAATAATCATGCAAGTATAAAATAATTAATTAATTGTGGGTCCCTTAACCACATTGCATGAAAAATCGGACAATCAATATGCCAATAACTTATCCGGTTGGCGGAATTCATTATTGCTTATTGACGAGAATAACTCATTATTTCTATATCTCTTTAGACAATGCCTTATCTAAATATGAAATAATTCCCGATTAGATTTAGCCTTTCTAAAATCACCTAGTATAGACCACTCCGTTGGGGAGCTAATACTATTGATTTTAGATTGAGTGTATAACATAATTAATGCTCCAACGGAAAAACAAATATTAAATATATTGCCATTAATAGCTTAGACTCTTTAAATCATGCGTAGGGCCTTATTTTTAAAGATCTAACTATAATGGTTATTTAATAAATATATTTTCGTGAGACAACCATTCTTGTAATCTAGACTCTTTAAATCATGCGTGGAGCCTTATTTTTAAAGATCTAATCATAATGGTTATAATTACGAAGGCCATGGGGTAATGTATAAAAAATCCCCGCTCCCACTCAATTTTTAATAATATAAAACTAGGGTTTTCAATTCATGATTTAATGAATGCAAAACGCCTTGATTTTAATCCCATTAAATTTAGAAAATATATAGATTTTAAATGATTCACTAATCTTTAATTTGAGGCAAAAAATAATTTACAAAAATAATTTTTCTATTTCCCAATAAATGCTCTCAAATTAATTAGCAATCTAATCCAATTTATCTTCATAATTTAATTAATATAAATAAAGCCATTTAGTTAAAAATCATGGATCCAATGCATGAACAATTATAATAACTATTAAATTATTCCATGCATCAAATAATAGACAGAAGCAATATAAATGGCCAATGGATTCAGCTTTTAACATTTAAAAACTATTCTTGTTGTACGGGCGTCCTTCAACTGTCTGTAAACATTAATAGGAAGCTTGTACGCGTCAGGAGAAGCAAATCGCTGCTTGGAACGAGCCCGGAGGACCCCACAAGCACTGGCACGCGCCTAGGGCAGGCTGCAAGACTCGGCACGTGTACCCACGCGCCCCCACGCGTCGGCAAGCGCTTGGGGCGCATGGGATGCGCTCTCACGCGCTCCCACGCGCCTGGGACGCGTGGGACTCGCCTCCAAGCGCCTTCACGCGCGTGGAGGGCAAGCTGCCTTGGCTGGCGCGTGCAATGCACGCGCCAGCATGTGCATTCTCCTGGCGCGGGTGGAATACACGCCAGGCTCACCATATTGATGCCACACCTGATCCGGGCCACCTCCGACGCCCCTTCTCGCCACCGGCGAAGCTCCGGCCACCGGAAAAACGCCGAAAAAATTTCAAAAAATCCGGAAAAATCCCAGAAAATTAAATTAAGCCTCAAAAAATTCCCGAAAAATTCGGAAAAATTCCAGAAAATTACTGAAGCATAATTTAATCATTTCGGACCCTCTTGAAGCTTCATAGCATCCTTTGATGAATATTACATGGCTTTAATAAATACTTACAATTTGAAATACAATGAAAAAAATTAAATTATATCATTGACTTTTCAAACGGATAAAACAAAGCCTTAATTACATTCATCCAAAAATAAAATTACATTCTATATACCTATAAGCTTCATCCATGGCCCAAACACACATCATCATCCATTCACAATTATACATACGTCATCATGTATTAATATATATCAACATAATAAATCATACATCAACATATATCAATAATTTTATATATGTATATACGATTTGGATCCATGAATATGATTTTTATAAACACATGTTCTCTAGTAATGAATCAAACCATGTGCTCTGATACCACTGTTGGGAAACGTGCAAGTTTTTAAAACTTTTGAGGGATTTGCAATCACGGATCTTGATTCATCACGCAGAGACAAGTTTTATGCAAAGATAAATAAAAGATGATGCATAATTTAATAAACAGATTGAATACTTACATCAAAGGTCTGAGTAAACCTTTTGAACTTTCCTCTAAAGTAAATGTTCTCACTTATTGTAGATCCCTTTAGCAAGATCCTTTCTCCTTCCGTTCGATTATTATCTTCCCTTTAGGAATCACCAATATGCCTTGATGAATGACCTTGGAATCTAGGCTGGTGGTAGCCTCCTTTAGAAGAGAAAACAAAACCCTAAAATCTAGAGAGAGAAAGTGTATTCCTTTTTCTTGTTCTCCAAGTCACCCCTAAAATATACATGAACTCATGTATATATAGGCAAAATAAAAATAAGAATAAGGAAACAATAAATCATTCTCTATCTCTAATTCAACTTTCTCAATCCTAACATGACTCCAATATCAACTTGGGCTATTGGTGAGAATCCTTTTGGGCTTACTATTTTCTTGGCTCCTATAAATTAATAATTGGTCCGGTCCATTAAACCATGGACCCAATTCAATTAATTCATAAATTAATTTCTACTCCACTAAAAGAAATTAATTGCACTCCAATTAAATAGTAAATAACCTCTAAGTCAATGTTGCACTTTGACCCCTCTATGCTTAATTATTTATCGGATAATTAAAGCCATCAATCCGACAACATAATTAATATAATTATTTTGTTATCTTTGATTATTTCCGGCTCGATCACAATAAAATATTTATTTGACAAAAAATAATAATAATTTATTAAATAAATATATACAGAAAACATTTGTCTAAAACATACGAAGGCCTTCGAATTTAATTTGTGATCAACCATAATCAAAACAAAATAAATACAAATAGCACTGATGCAAATATTGAGAATATAGAC